TTTCTTTCTTTCTTTCTTTCTTTCTTTCTTTCTTTCTCTCTCTCTCTCTCTCTCTCTCTCTCTCTCTCTCTCTTTCCCTTCCTTCCTTCCTTTCTTCCTTCCTTCCTTCCTTCCTTCCTTCCTTCCTTCCTTCCTTCCTTCCTTCCTTCCTTCCTTCCTTCCTTTCTTTTTGAGACAGAGACTTGATATATTGCCAGGCTGGCTTTAAACTTGGTGTAGTGTGAGCTGACCCTGAATAGACCTTCCCCCCCATCCTCAGACCTGGGTACATGTTATGTATTTTTAATAAAGATGAGATAATGCGGGGCATGGTGGCTCATGCCTTTAATCCCAGCACTCAGGAGGCAGAGGCAGGCGGACCTCTGTGAGTTTGAGGCCAGCCTGGTCTACAGAGTGAGATCCAGGACAGGCACCAAAACTACACAGAGAAACCCTGTCTCAAAAAAAACAAAACAAAACAAGATGAGATAATACTATGTGATATATTTCATAAAGTTTTTGTTTAGTCTATTACTTTTGTTTGTGTGTGTGTGTGATGCAAGTGTGCATAGCACACGTGTGGAGGTCAGAGGACAACTGCATATCAGTTCTCTCCTTCCACCGCGTGGGTCCCAGGGATTGAACTCAGATCACTAGGCTTGGTAGCAAGTGCTGTTACCTGATGAACCATTTCCACAGCTCTGTTTATTTTGGGATAGGGTCATGTGGTGGTTTGAATAAGAATGACCTCCATAGGCTCATATATTGAATGCCTGGTCACCAGGGAGTGGACCTGTTTGAGAAGGATTAAAGGATCTAAAGGTGTGGCCTGGTTGGAGGAGGTGTGGCTTGGAGGGAGTGTGTTGCTGAGGGTGGGCTTTGAGGTTTCAAAAGTCCAGGCCAGGTCTCTCTCTGCTGCCTGTGGATCAGGATAGAAAGTTCTCAGCTACTGCTCTAGCGGCATGCCTGTCTGCTTCCCACCATGGTGATAATGGACTAGTCCTCTAAAACTGTAAGCAAAACCCGAATTAAATGCTTTCTTTTATACAAATTGCCTTGGTCTGGGTGGTGGTGGCATAAGCCTTTGATTCAAGTGCTTGAGAGGCAGAGGCAGACAGATCTCTGAGTTCAAGGCTAGTCTGGTCTACAGAGCAAGTTCCAGGACAGCCAGGGCTACATAGAGGAACCCTGTCTTGAAATATTTAAACAAAAAAACAAAAAAGAAAACAGGTTACATGTAGCCTAGGCTAGCCTAGAACTCATTGTGTAGCTGAAGATGATCTTCAATTTCTGATCCTCCTTTCTCCACATATCAATTGCTGGGATTATAGGTATGCACCACTCTGCCTGGTTTTCATAGTGCTGGGGATGAAACTCAGGGTCTCATGATGCCAGGCAAGCATTCTACCAACTAAACCCTATCCCTGACTTAAGGACATCTTTTCTCATTCTGTGACAATGATGGATACTGCCTACACCTGCCACTTTTGTCTAAGTGTTTTTGTTTTGGGGTGTGTGTGTGTGTGTGTGTGTGTGTGTGTGTGTGTGTGTGTGTGTTTTCAAGACAGAGTTTCTCTGTGTGGCCCTGGCTGTCCTGGAACTCTCTCTCTTCTGCCTCCTCCTCTTCCTCTTCTACTTTTTTTTTTTTTTTTTCAAGACAGGGTTTCTCAGTGTAGCTTTGGCGCCTGTCCTGAAACTCAATCTGTAGGCCAGGCTGGCCTCAAACTCACAGAGATCCACCTGCCTCTGCCTTCCGAGTGCTGGGATTTAAGTTGTGCGCCACCACGGCCTGGCTCACTTTAGGACATTGTACATGCTAGGTAAGTGCTGTCTACCAATGGATACATCTAGTCCATCTGGCCAGTCTTTTTACTGTCTTGTGTGTAAATGTCATCATTGTTTTTGTTCTCACTACATGGAATACTTTTCTCTATCCTCACGTGAATAAGGCCCTGCTACCCCAAACCCACAGGCCCTGCTACCATCTTACCTGTTAAGAAATATGTCTGTATTTAGGAATGTGCATTCATGCATGTGGCTACAGAGGCCCGAGGTCAATGCTGTCTTCCTCACTTGCCCTCTACCTTATTTTGTTGAGGCAGGGTCTCCCACTGCACCTGGAGCTCACCGATTGGCTAGACAGGCTGGCCAGCGAGTCCCTGGGATCCTTCTGTCTCCCTCTCCTAGTGCGGGCACCCTAGGCGCTCACGGTTGTGTCCAGCTTTTTACATGGGGACTGGGGATCTGAACTTGGGTCTTCATGCTCACGAGACAAGCATTTTACCTCCTGAGCCATCTTCTCAGGCTGCATCTCCCTTTTCTAGTACTTCAACACACCCAGGTCCCCAGCCCACTCCCTCCCTGAATTCCTTCTGCACACACAGTGTGCACTACGCAGACCAGACCTTCTGGGGCCAGCCCCGGCTAAGGCCTGCACCAGCAGCACAGGTGCTATCCATGATGGGCTAGCTTTGCCGAGGGGAGGAGAAAGGGGTTTCTAGGAAATGTGGCAAAGAAGCTGGCTTCAGGGTTAGGAGATTGGGTAAGAGTTGCCAGGAAACAATCTCACCAGTGTGGGTTCCCCTCGGTCCATTTTGTCTCCAGTTCCCAGCTGCCCATATCTGTTATTTCCCTGCATAAAGATCCGGCCAAATTCATCCACCAGGCCAAGGTGATTGTAGCCAAGAGCACAGAATAGGACCTAGGGAGATTAAGACAGCAAGAGCATGTGAGCACTCAGTTCCCAGGAAACTGGGCTCCAGAACTCCGCCCCAACAGATCCCGTCTGACCTCTCCCTGAATCCCTGTCCCACCCATATCTCTCCTTCCAACCCCTGGGGCCCAGCCTCTGCTATCCGCCCGCCCTCCTCCGCCCCAGCAGCCTACCTTGGCAGGCAGGGAGAGAGCAAGTGGCATCTGGTGGTCCAGAGGGTCAAAGGCTTGGAGGGTCCCAAAGAGATCACGATACACCCCTGGGGTGTGCACCTCAAAATACACTCCCCCCTGGTCTGGGGGGTCGGGAGCCCTCAGCTCAGCAGCTTTGGGCACCCATTTCCTAGGGATAAGGCCCCACCTGTGATGGTAAAAGCTCAGAGATTGCAGGGGGTCCCATACAATCCACACACCAGCCCCGACAGCTGGGAGCCTACCCATAGTCACCAGCATGCCTAAGGAGTATCGGTGTGTGGAGGGGTCTGCCCAAGATCGGAGTCTTGAGAGCAAGGAATATAGTTCTTTTTTAAATTTTTCAGTGTGTGTGTGTGTGTGTGTGTGTGTGTGTGTGTGTGTGTGTGATGTGATGTGATGTATGTGTATAGATATTGGCATGTATGTGCCATAGCATACAGATCAAAATCAGAGGACAGCCTCGGGTATTGGTCGGTGTCTTCCACCTTGTTTGAAGTAGGGTCTCTTGCCATTTTGATGCCAGACTGGCTGGCCCACAGGTTTACAGGGAATGCCCTTCTCTGCCTTTGGGATAACAGACATGTGCTGCTGGGTCCAGTTCTATGTGGGTTCCGGGGACTTGAACTTATCCTCAGCCTTACACAACCAGTACTTTTACCTTTTATCTCCCCGACCCTGGAGGTGCTTCTTACCTGTGATGTAGAGGGTGCTGCTCTGGTTGGAAGCCATGCACGTCACACGAAGGTGAGGCAGGCATCGCGACACCTTCCTGAGGGTCAGCTGTACCGTGTAGGAGCGTGGCTGGTCCAGCTGGGTCTCATTCACTACCAAGGAGTAGATCTTCCCTTCCTCTGGGGATATGAAGGGAAGCATACAATTCCATGGAGGAAGGGATTCATCAATGCCCAGATTAACATCCCATGGGACTCTCAACAGAAACATTTACTGCCCTAGAGTAGAAATGCGCGAAAAAGGGTAGAGGTCCAGTGAGTTGGCTACATGTTGTACAGGCTTGACAACTAGAGTTCAAATACTGAAACCCATGGTAGAAAGAGGAAATGACTCCTGAAAGCTGTCCTCTGACCTCCACATGTACGTGCCTGCGTGCGCACGCACGCGCGCGCGCACACACATTTTCGCAAGTGTTGGAGGGGAATAAAGTATGGTGACACATACTTTTAATTTCAGCATTGGGAGGCAGAGGCAGACAAACTTCTGTGAGTTAAAGGACAGTGTGGTCTACATAGTAAGTTCCAGGCCAGCCAGGACTGAACTACACAGTGAGGCTTTGTCTCAACAACAAAAATAAAATAAAAGAAAAAGAAAGAAAGAGCCGGGCGGTGGTGGCTTACACCTTTAATCCCAGCACTTGAGAGGCAGAGTCAGGCCTGAGTTCAAGGGCAGACTAATCTACAGAGCAAGTTCCAGGATAGCCAGGGATACACAGAGAAACCCTGTCTTGGGGAAAAAATAATAATGAAAATAAATAAATAAAAGGCAGAAGAAAGAAAGGGAAAAAGAGAGAATAGCTTCCAGCCCCCAGCCTTCAACCCTGACAGTAAACAGGGAGGAACTTCAGCATGAGAGACCGGTGGAGACCAAACCCAGTGATTAGCTGCTGCAGCCCCTTAATTTGAGTGTTGGGAAGACTGAAGTCTGGGCATTTAGGCTCCTGCCTGGCATTCGGAAGTCCACAGGGTCTCAGGCTTAAGGAGGGTGCAGTCAACTATGGAGGACACTGGGAAAGGGGGGAGGGGGCAACTTGGGGTACAAAGTGAAGTGCCTGGCACAGAGGATAGGAGGGGATTAGACTTGAAAAATTAGATATCACTAGAGCAGTGATTTCCAAACTACGTAAACCACTGTTGTAATAGTGTGGGCTCACACGCCACAGTGCATGTGCAGGAGGCAAAGGCCGACTGGGGGTGTTGGTCCTTACCAGCTACCTTGCTTGAGTTAGAGTCTCACCAATACTACTACCTAGGCCAGATGAGCTGTCCTGCGGACTTCTGGGAGTCTCCTATCTCCATCTTGAATCTCACTATAAGAGTCCTAGGATTGAGCTGGAGAGATGGCTCAGGGGTTAAGCACTGGTTACTCTCCCAGAGGTCCGGAGTTCAAGTCCCAGCAACCACATGGTGGCCCACAACCATCTATAATTTGATCTTGTGCCCTCTTCTGGCCTGCAGGCATATATGTAGGCACACTGTATACATAATAAATAAATCTTAAAAAGATAAGTGCTAGGATTACCGACTTGAGCTACCTTCATGTGGGTTCTGTGAATCCAAGCTCACATCTCATGGTTGTTACAGGTCTCTCCTACCCACTGTACCATCTGCTCAGCACTGCATTTTACTTTTGAAGCAGGATCTTATGTAGACTGGCCTCAAACTATGCAGTCTAAGAATAACCTTGAACTCAGGATTCTCCTGGTTCCACCTTCCAAATACTGGGAGTACACACATGTATCACTACACCCACTTTATATGGTGCTGGGAGTTGAACCTGGTGCTTCATGTAGATGGATCTACACCCCCCCAGTCCAAGAAGGACCTTTATCTGAAATTCTATGCAGAATTCTAGAATTTTTCGGGTTGAGAGCTGTGGAGCAGGAGAAGGTAGAACTCTCTGACAGACTCCTCCTTCCTCTCCCCGGGAGCAGACCCTGAAGAATCTGCTAGACATTTGCAAATCACGGCTTGTTAGGGGACACCTGTGAGGAGCAGCAGGGCCCGCTGGGTCTCCTGGCCGACCAGCACGATCTGCTTGAAGCTCATGGAGGGGTGGAATGTCATCTTGAAGACCCGCTGCCCGCTGGACTGCAGATAGACCTCCACACAGTCGCAGGCCCGGCTGCCAGGGGCGCCCGCCACGGCCGGCTGCTCCCGAGTGGCCAAGACGTAGAGGTATTTCCGGTAAACCGTGTCACATCTTGGGTCGGAGGCAAACTGCAGCACAAAATGAGGCTGTCTGGGATCTAGAGACTCTGAATGGGATAAGGCTAGAGCAGATCATGGGATGGGAAATGAGATAATGGGGTCCAGGCTTAAGAAATGAGAGCTTATTTAGGATTGGCAATCTAACTCAGTGATAGAATGCTCGCCTAGCATGTGTGAGGTCCTGGGTTCAGTTCCCAGCACCAAAAAAAACAAGCAAATGACAGATAAATGGATGGCTTTCAGTTCTCTAGGAGAGGGTGGCTGTCCTGACCTCCCTCCCTAAGGGAGAGACCACTCAAGACCACTGAGGTGGATTCTCAGCACCCAGAACTCCCCACTCACATCCTTAGCACCTCGACACAGCACCACGTAGCGGCAGGCCCGCTTCCACTGGATCTGGCCGAGGGTGGAGGACACCAGAGCATTTTTGAGGAAGAAGAGGGTCCCCACATAGTCAAGAATGAACACATGGTCCTTCGTGGGTAAGAAGCGGCGGTAGCCATGGGCTAGCATGGGGGCCACACTCTTGCTGAGACATCGGCGTCGTCCTCCGAATGCCTGGAAATACAGGCCCTTTGTATCTGAAGACCAGAAGGACATGGTTTAAAGGCTGAGGCGACATGAGTGTAAGAGTCAGCGCGAGGGTGAAATAGATGGGCTCTTTTCCAGACACCCTGGCATTTAGCTTTTTTCCACCCCCAGGACTAGGGATCAGCCTCCTCCTTCCTGGGGTGACACAGAAAACCTGGTTTATACCCAACATCTGCCCCACTTCATCCCAGGGCCACACATGTGCTTCTCAGTAGCATTTCTTTAGTCCCGCCTTGAATCAGAGACATCAAGGAAAAGAATAAACACAGAAAGGAAGCAGAAAGGAGAAAGGGATGGCAAGAAAGGCCAGGCATCTCCTCTCACCTCCGGCTGCGGCTGCTCCTCTAACTCTATGTGTGAAAGCAGTAATTACATAGTGCCTTTCTGGAGTATTTGGATCACTGTTCTCTCTCAAGCTGGGGTGACTTTGTCCCCCAGGGAGACTGGCTGTCATAACGAGGGAGTTGGTACTGCTGTCACACAATAAACAGGACAGCCACCACAACAAGGCAGTATTTCATCTCTGGCTGGGGAGGTGACTCGATGGTTAAGTCCTTGCCTTGCAAGCGTGAGGAGCAGAGTTGAGGCATAAATACTGGATGGCCTTCTTGGAACTCTGGCCCCGAAGCTGGGAGACTCGGATGTGGGAGCAGGAGCCTCAGAGCAAGCTAGCTAGCAAGACCTCTGAGTCTGACTGAGAGAGAGGCTCCGCTTCATTGAATACAGTGAAGGGTGACTGACGATAATTCCCGAGATCAACCTTGGTCTCTGCATGCACATACCCCAATGTGCATGTGTTCACACACATGCAACCATGCATACATAGAGACACACACACCACACATGAACATGAGAAAAAGAGAGCTGCCTCATCTCAACTGTCATTAGGTGACACAGAGCTGGGGAGGTGGGCAATGTGTAAAGCATTTGCCAGCACGAGGACCCGCGATCAGAGCCCTGGCACCCACGTGAAAGCTGGCATGGGATATTTTTAACGCTGGCACGCACTGGCTGGGGAAAGGGGAAGGGAGATATAGAAGGATCCCGGGCTTGCTGGCCATCCTGTCTAGCCATGGCAAGCTCCAGGTTCAGTGAGAGCCTGTGTAAAAACCTAAGGCAGGCCGGGCAGCAGTGGCGCACGCCTTTAATCCCAGCACTCGGGAGGCAGAGCCAGGCGGATCTCTGTGAGTTCGAGGCCAGCCTGGGCTACAGAGTGAGTTCCAGGACAGGCTCCAAAGCTACACAGAGAAACCCTGTCTTGAAAAAACAAAACCAAACAAATAAAAGCCTAAGGCAGAGCTAGAGACAGCTCAGTGGTTAAGAGCACTGGCTGCTCTTCCAGAGGACCAGGGTTTGGTTCCCAGTACCCACGTGGCAGTCCAGGTCCAGATGATCTGATGCCCTCTTCTGGCCTACCAGACACTGCATGCATGTTGTGCATAGGCACATAAAATAAAAATACACATAAAATAAAAATAAATATTAAAAAAATAAGGTAGAGAGGGACAGAGGAAGATACTAATGTCAACCTCTGGCCTCTACATGTGACTACACAAGCAGATGCATCAGTACACGTACACACACACACACACACACACACACACACACACACACACGACATACGCAAAAGCTGACAGACAAAGTTAACTCTGATTTAAAAGAGGGAGAAACTCCAGGTCTGGGGAGTAGGGGTGTCTCTAGGGTAAGATCTGGAAGAGTTGGTACATGCAGGGAGACCTGGCTGAAATGGTACTAGAGCTGTGAATCGGATGTCTGTCACAGGTGACCAGAGAACCCTGGAGGAAGTACTCCATGGAGGATGTTTGAGTTTAACCAGTTTCTTCTACAGAAGGGTTGCCAGGGGGTGCAAAGATCACCGGGAAACTTGACAAAGAAGGAAGTTTCCAGAATAAGGAAGGGCAGAAGAAGAAGTTACTGAGGGAAGTGTACAGTTAAGGATGGCAGCTCTCTTCCAGGGCCGGGCACCAGAGCCCTGGTCACGGACGCGTGGACAGAGCCTTCGACAGATGCGTCTCCACACGCCCTCGGCATCACACACTTCGTGGAAGTAGTGGCAGGTCTGGCCTAGGGCGACAACATCCTTGACGGGGAGGAAGGAGACGATGTGTTCCACCTGTGGAGGAGCAGGAGGGGGAGGGGGGACGGGGGGGGGGGGTCACAGGCTGCCCCTCAGCCCTGCAGTCACAACCCTCACCAGACCCTAAAGACTCACCAGCTCTGGGGGGAACAACTGCACAGAAATAGGGTTCCCTCTCTCCTCATTCCCAGCCTCCAGACCGCAAGAAGGGCAGCTGCGCTTCACCTGCCAGGGCAGAAGGGGAGCAAAGGGGTTCTGTGGGGGCCACACCTGCTCTCCTCCTCTGCTGTCAACGCCTGCCTCAGGGCCCATCCAACTCCAGCTCTGCGCTAGCAAATCCAGCCTCCCCTCTCTCAGGACCTCAGGCCATCATCCCCCCCTTGCCTGCCTTATTCCTTGGCCTCTCCCCGATTGCTTGCTGTCAGTCAGCTCCCTGCCCTTCCCTGGCCTGGCCACCCCCCTCACCCTGATCCCCTCCTCCTGTCTGCACAGCCTGGTCAATTTTTGCAGCTTCTGTCTCCGGCTTCTCCTCAACATCCTGACTGTCCCCTCCCTGCTCCTGCCCTCATCTCTCCAGGCCCCTTGGCTCCCCAGGCCCCAGGCCCCTGTCCCCGCTGCCTTTCCCACACCATGTCCCCAGTCTGGGCTTGGGGGACCTCTAGGGCCCCTCGATCATCTAGGCTCCACCCCCATGGAGTCTGGGGCACATAAACCTTTTTGTGACCTCACTGTCCAGCGACTGTGACCTATTCCCCTTAACTTGATCCCAGAACTAGCTTCTGGGTTCTAGCTCAGATCCAGCCACCAGATGGCTCATGGGATTCATGGTTTACCGGAGACATAAAGAGGGAACTATTGGTCGACGGTAAGTCCTCTCCTCTTAGGAAGTAGTAGTAGATGTTCTCACTTTTAACTCTGAAGAGAAAAATGGGGACTCCTGAGCAGCCCTCAGTCTCTATATCAAAAGAGTACAAAGCCAGGAAAGAAAGAAAAAGGAAAAAGTATAGGGCTAGATGTAGCTCGATTGGTAGAGTGCTTGCCTATCATGCACGAAGCCCTGGGTTTGATCCCCAGCACCAGATAAAACCAATATGGTGGTGCACACTTGCAATCCCAGCACGTGGGAAGTGGAAACAGGAGGATGAGGAAGGAGTTCAAGGTCATTGTTGGCTACATAATGAGTCTGAGGCCAGCCTGCATTACTGCATTATATGAGACATTGTCTCAAAAAAAAGATTGATGGACAATGACGATGGAGAAAAGGGGGACCCTGATCTACCTTCCTGCTCACAAAGGCAAGATGTAAATGGGAACAATTAAACACAGATTCTTTACAGTCTACTGAAAACAAGTCCAAAACCACAGGCTTCTTCCCGGGGACCAGTGGCATCTCGGCATGTGCAAAGGACAAGCTGTTAAGGGGGGGGGGGGGTGAATTTTTTCCAGAGTTTAGGGCATCTTCTAGAGCCTGGGCACTTAGTTTTTTCTGTGGAGTGACTCTGTCAAGGAGAAACAGCAGATGAGATTTACGTGATAGATAGGGGCAAGTCTACACCAGCAAATGTAAGGAGTATAGCCTTTTCAGGATCACAAGAGGATTTAATCCTGTTAGAAAACTGGTGCGTAAGTGCCCAGCAGATCCGTTCATTGATTGCTCTAGTCAGACGTTCATCATTCACACCAACTCCGTTATCTGTGGTAACTAGGAAATAGAGTCCATGTGTCGGGCATCTGCTTAACATGTGCATGGCCTTGGATTCCAACACCTGCTTTCTTTTTTTGGTGTGTTGGGGGTTGAAACAGGGTTTCTCTGTATAGCCCTTAGCCCTGGCTATCCTAGAACTCGCTCTATAGACCAGGCTGACCTTGATCTCACAGAGATCCGCCTGCCTCCCCGCCCCCATCCCTCCCTCAACCAGTGCTAGGATTAAAGACGTGGGCCATCACGTCCAGCTATTACTTAAACACACTGTATAAAGATCTTTTGGGTGTGTGTTGCCTGCATGTATGTATACCACATGAATATATAAATGCCTGGGCCCCATGGATTGGGAGTTTCAGACGGTTGTAAGCTGCCATGTGAATGCTGAGAACAAAGCCTGGGTCCTCTTCAAGGGCCGCAGTGCTCATAGCCTCTGAGCCGTCTTTCTCTCCAGCCCCCTAGGATTTGATTTCTTTTTCATGGTGTGTGCCGGGGTGTATGTGGAGGAATGTGCATGAAGCGCCCATGGCAGCCGGAAGAGAGCACTGGACATGCCCTCAAGCTGGATACAGGGAGCCACTCTAGGGCTGCTTCAGACAGTCTTCTGCAAGAGCAGCCAGCTCAACTCCCCCCACCCCCCAAATTTTAATAATTTGATAAACGTTGAGGCACATTAGCATAGCAGGTATGACTTAGGAGAAAGCAACTTCAGTTACCGGTGGTCAGGCAGCCCGGGAAGCAGACTTGGGGTCTTGTGTCACTGCAAAGGATTTTAAGCTAAGTGAGCCTTGCACGATGGTGCACACCTGTAATCTAGCACTTTTGAGGCAGGAAGAGCGCACCGTCATTCCTAGCTACATAGCCAGCTGGAGGCCAGCCCGGGCTAGATGAGATCTTGTCTCAAAGAGCCAGTCTTCCTCTCCTTAGGCCACCATGCCACCCAGACTGAGGAAAGACTGTGGAATTCTGGGACCATGTGAGCCTAAGCCACATTGGTAAGTACCGGAAGCGTCCAGGAGGAGAAAGGGGATGCTAATGGCATGCCTCATCACAGGATCAACTTCGACAGAATCACCCAGGTGACTCTGAGGAAGCTGGTATGATGAGTCATTACCACTTAAAGAGGAACCAGAGCTTCGGCTGAACTGTCCACCTGGATAAACTGTGGACACTGATCAGTGAGCAGACTCGGGTAATGTTGCCAAAAACCAAGACTGGAGCTGCTCTTGTCACTGGTGTGGTGGGACTGGGGATGGGAAAGCTGGCTAAGCAGTCTGTCATCATCGTAAAGACCAAATTCTGCAACAGAAGAGCTGAGGAGATCAAAGGTGTTGGGGGTGTCTGTTTCCTAGTGGCTGGAAGCCAGGCAGGGAGGTTCATTAAATGCTGACATTCTTTAAAAACTAAATAAATCTCCAAAAAAAAGAGGTATTCTTTTACTGCCTCTTCCACTTGGGATCCTTTTCTGTACTCCATTTCACTTCAAGAAGCTAAAAAAAAAATTTGTTTTGAGACAAGGGTCTCATGTTCAGGCTGGCTTGGAATGACCTGACCCCGAAGTCTTGACCCTCCTATCATCTTCGCAAATGCTGGCATGGCAGGCTCATTGCCACTACAGCCGGCTTCAAATAAGAGGTTTCCAATAGACAAAGTGCATTATGAAAGTAGGGCAAAGAGTCCCACGTGGAGGCCCGAGATTTGCTCAGCACCAGTTTCCTCACTTATGAAAAAACGAAGATCTTAGTCGGGCAGTGGTGGCGCACGTCTTTAGTCTCAGCACTCAGGAGGCAGAGGCAGGCGGATCTCTGAGTTCGAGGCCAGCCTGGGCTACAGATCGAGTTCCAGGACAGCCAGGGATACACAGAGAAACTGTTTCCAAAAAATCAACAAAACAAACAGAAAACAACGATCTTGAGATCTTTCGTAGTCTCTAGAATTTGGTCTGGGCATCGCAAGTGTTGTCCGGGAGGACTCCGGTGGAGCTGGCGGTCTGGCGACTTTCCCAGCCTGAGCTGGAAACCCCCTCACCCACCGGTCAACCCCGGAGTCCCCCGCTGGGACTCAGCCTGCACGACCGGAAACGGTCCCTTCTGTTAAGACAACAGCCCGGGAGCTGGCCCGGGGCCCGCCTCTCCCTCCCGCACTTCCCGGAGGCTGGCTCGCTCCCCAGCACGATCAGCTAGGACCCAGCTCTAGCTAACTCTGCATTGTCAGCCCGCCCAGCACGCCGCGTTCTCGGTCTTTACCTGCGTCTCAAAAATTCTAGTTCCCCCGCCTCCTGTTTAGTGAAAGCACCTTCTCCTCACTTACGCTATTGGTCGGCGGAGCCGTCCCTCAGAGAAGAGGCCGGGACAGGTGCCCTTCCGAGGTTCTAATTGGTGGTCTTGACAGTCACTCGCCCGCCTCTAGGTTGCAATTGGCCCCCTTTGAAAGAGGGCCGGACTCTCGGGCTTGCGGTCTCTGGGTCTCTAATCCCTTGAAGTTGAGCGCGGTTGTCCCCGCCTCCTGGGTGCGTCTCATTGGCTCCATCCCTGGGCTCCGGAGTTGTGATTGGTTGTCGCTGTGCGGGGCGGGCCGGCCAGAAGCCGCGGCCGTTGGCGAGGGTCCGCACTTACCCCCTCCCGTCCCTCAGCCGAGTCGAGACTCGAGAAGCTCCACCTCCTCGGCGCGTTCCGATTGGGCCGTTCTAACGCGTCTCTGGCTCGTGATTGGTCCGCGGGGTTCCTGACCCTCGCTCCCGCCCCCCGGAGGCGACTACGGCGGCTCGGAGGTGGGGGAGGGGCGGGGCGGGCCGGCCGGTGCCGTCAGTCAGGCAGCGGGAACCGCCGGGAGCGGATGGCGGCGGTGGTAGCGGGCCCACTGGCCGCCGGGGGTGAGGAAGCTGCAGCTGCCGTCTCCGTGCCAGGGTCTCCTGGTCTGCCCGGGAGCCGCAGCGCAGAGCGAGCCCTAGAGGAGGCGGTGGCCACCGGGACGCTGAACTTGTCCAACCGGCGTTTGAAGCACTTCCCGCGGGGCGCGGCCCGCAGTTACGACCTGTCAGACATCACCCAGGCTGGTGAGTTGCGCCGGTGCCCGCGGAGAGGAGGAGGGGACCCACCCGGGACCGCGACCCTCATTTGCATAGCCCCGCCCCGCGCTCGGAGCAGGCCCACCCCTCCACCTGGCAGTGGCGGGGGCTCGCCCCCCGGGGTTGGCACCGAGCCCGCGACCTCCCCGCCCCGCCGTGGCAGAACCACCGCACAATGAGTTGGCTTCCAGCGTGCACACACCACTCCCGGCCGAGCTCTCGCAGACTCTCCCCTTTATTTGCACTTTGCGCACCTGTAGCGCGGTCCCGCCCCTCACCTGGCTGCTGCTTCAGTCCTAGATCGCATGGGCCCTTAAAGCAAGCCCCCACTTATAATCAACAGCCACTGCATTTTTCATCCTTCGGGTCGTTTCCAACTCCTTCCCCTCCACCTCGATCCCCCTGCCCCAGTTATCTCCTCCCCAAGGATCGCCCCTAACAACCCGACCTTTCTGCTTGCTGTACCCTTGTCTCCTCGAGTCCCAGACCCTCTCCCGCGTCCACCCCAGCCCGTCTGTGGGAAAGAAGTGAATCCCCCGCTGTTAACTTTCCATCTATTATCACCGTCCCCTTGATCTTCTTCCTGCCTCTGTGAGGTCACTGTGCAGCCTGTGACCTCATAGGAACCCTAGAATTACCATGTCAGGTTCTGCTTTTCCCTCAGGGGAGGAACTTGAGGCAGTTTACTGAAAGGAAGGAAATTGTATCTCTTAGTTGGGAGTGCTGACCTCCTGGAGACTCTCTTTCCAGTCCCCGCCCTCAGGATCCCTCTAATCATGTCCCCTCCACCCTGGGGTGTGTGTGTGTGTGTGTGTGTGTGTGTATGTGTGTGTGTGTGTGTGATCCCTCTAATCGTGTCCCCTCCACCCTGTGTCTGTTGATGGCCAGGCCCTGGGGACTGTACTGTGACAGGTGAGTCAGGCTTCAGCTGCTTAGGAGGCAGCCTATGAACTTGGGCTGGCAGCTGAGGGTGGGGATCAGAACACAGGACTGCATTCCGGGAGCCCCACCCCGGTCTAGGCTGGAGTGAGGGCCCCTTTCTGCGTCTCTCAGCTCCGGGGCGGGATCAAAGAGCACGTTGCTCCAGCAGGTGCCTGCCCACCTGCAGTCACACCCTCTGGCTGGGCCACAGTCTCCCCTTACAGCTCTGGAGAGAAAAAGTTTAAATCTCTGTTTTTAAATCCCCCCCCCCCCTACTGCTGAGTGAGTCCTGGGAATGGGTGAGCCCCACGAGCCATTCTTGCCCCTCCCAGGCCCCCCCAGCCCCCCAGCTCCAGATTGACCTCAGCAGCTGTGTGACACTGGCCGTCTGTTCCCTTTCCCCTCCCCCCTTTGCTTGTTTTTTGACAAAGACCAAATGTTTTTCTTTACTTCCTCAGGGCTCTGTCTCAGTGAGTGGACTCTTGGGGAAAACTACCGAGCACTCCTAGCCCCTCCCAGCCCCTGCCCCCACCCAGCCGCCTCCTCCAGCATTCCGGCTGAGGGCGCAGCTAGGGCTCCCCGGTACAGGTTCACTTGTGAGGTGAAGTGGGAAATCCTCTAAGCCCTCTCTGCCTTCTTCAGTCTCTTCGGGGCCCAGGTTCTAGGCAGGTGGGTTCCATTATGTCCAGCTGGCCTGTCTCCTCTCTCCAAGCTGGGTACTCCTAGCCTGGGAGGGGTGACAGGAAATGGGGGACTGTCTGAAGCCCAGAGTTGCCCGGTGCCCCTGTCCTCCACATCCCCTCACTCTCCAACCCAGACCAAGTACTTTAGCGCTGTGCTGCTGGACTGTTCTGAACGTCTCCTGCTTGCTCTGCCCCTGCATGCCCCCTCTGTGGCCACTCCTGACACTGGAGGACTGTGTTCCCTTGGCCTGCTGGTAGAGAGCTGGGTTGGGGGAGGGCACCTTCAGCAAAGGAGAAGTGTAGATCACTCTCCCACAGACCACATCCTGTGCCCCTAAGCCCGGCCTCCTCCAGCCTGGGCTCCTTCCGCCCCTGACTTCTGCCCTTTACCCCTTACCCTCATCCCATCTTAACGTGGTCTCCACTCCAGTGAACATGCACACACACACATGCACACACACACTTGCACACATGCATATGCACACATGCATGCATGCACGCACACACACACACACACATACGCACGCACGCACGCGCGCGCGCGCACGCACGCACTCTCATGCATTTGTGGGCACAGAGGGAACAGGCAGGTGTCGGGCATGGGTGGAGGACCAGATGCAGGCCTTCCACCCTCTCTGGAACTGTTTTTCCCACACTAGCTCTGTGTTCACTAAGGCTGGGGCAGAGAAGAGGAGTGAGCAGTTTGTAGGGCATCAGGCTAATATCCCCTGGGAAACAGATCCTACAAGCCACAACCCAATGGATTGTTTCTACCCCATTTCCTGTCACAAGATGCATTTCCTCAGGGACTATCCCCAGTTTCCCCTCCTCTCAGCTTTTACTCCCCACTAAGGAGGCCCTTAAAGAAGCTCACAATGTCTCTTGCCTGGGATTTCCCCTCAAAAGCCCAGACACCTCCCAGGGCATGCGAACAGACCGAACAGAAACACAGACTTCTAGGGGTCTGTGGTCCTCGTCCACACTGCAGGGAACCACAGGCTCGCCTCTGGCAGGGCCACAGTGAGCACTGAGATAAGGGAGGAAGGCTCTTCCCTTCCTCACCTCTGCTGCCTGTTCTGCTTAAGGTAAATGCAAAGACTGAGCCTGGGCCCCGTCAGAGAGGAGGTGGAGGAAGACAGCTGGGGTTGGAATAGGGCAGCCAGCCTGGGGACAAGGGGGTCCAGTGGGAGGCACCTCGAGGACTCTGAGAACTCGCTTCCCAGCTCCAGCTTAGCCTGCTGCCTTTCCCTCCTAGACTCCCTGACGCTAGACGTTCATAGTCCTTTGGCCCTGGAGGTGAGGAAAAGCTGGCCGAGTGTCCCTAGAGCTGGCGTCTATCTCGATCTCGCTTTCTTGCCTGGGTTGAAAACAGGTTGACGCTGGGAGGAAGGCTGGCTCTCCCTCCCTGTGGTTCCCCCAGAGGCTTCTTTCTGTGTTATCCCCTGACCTCTCCTACCTGTCCTCCCTCTCTCTCTCTCTCTCTCTCTCTCTCTCTCTCTCTCTCTCTCTCTCTCTCTCTCTCTCTCGTGCTGGGATCCCATCCAGAGCTGTCTGGTGCTAGACCCATTGATCGTCCAGCCCCAACCAGCTTTTTTCTGGCAGGGAGTGGGGAGAGTAAGTTCATGAGTGTATGGAGGCCAGGAGAGGACGCTGGGTGTGCTGTTCCATCACTCTCCACCTTCTGTCTTGAGAGGGCATCTCTCACTGAATCTGGAGCTAGGCTGGCAGCCCACAGGCCCAGCTAACGTCTTCTGACTCCCAGCCAGTCCCCCAGCACTGAGGTCACAGGTGCACACCCGTGCCCAGCGTTTACGTGAACGTGGGCTCTAAACTCAGGTCCGCGTGCTGTGTCGTGAGTGTGCTTGCTCCCTGAGCCGTCTCCTCGTCCCTCAGACTGGTTCCTTACAAGCCTATCCCCCTTTGGGGATCTTTCGCCGTTCAGTTCTCCTGACATCTCAGAACACAGGGACCACAGCGTCACAGAGCCCTGCCGCCACACTGCTAGACGACTTCATTTGTCTTATTTTGTGGGGTGGGGGTAGACAGGCTCTAGCAAGCTGTCTGGTCCTGAACTCTTGATTCTCCCCTCTCGGCGGTTCTGATTGTTGGAGATACAGACGTGAGCCACCCCATGCGGCTTCATTTGTAATAAAGATGGTGTTCATGGTCCGTTGTACCCTCTCAAGTCGGCTTCTCTGACTCGGTATCCCTCTGGCCTTCTCTTGGCCTTTCTGGTTGTGCTTGTACCGTGCTTCAGTTTGTAGAAGGCTTGTTGTTTCCCCAGGCAGCCCACGTGCTGAACGTGTGTGTGTGTACACACGTCTGGGGAGGCGAGGGGCTGGGTCTCAGCTGTCCGTCAGGTGCCACCCACTCTGCGTCTCTGAAGCAGTCTCTTGACTGACCTGGTCACTGAACCAGCCAGGCTGTCTGCCCAGCTGGCCACTGAGCACCAAGGAGCCACTTAGCCCCGCCTCTCCAGTGTGGGATTGCAAGTGAACACTGCCACACCTGCCTTTTTATATGTGGGTTCTGGGGGCTGGAGCTCAGGTCCTCAGCTTTACCCACGTAGCTGTCTCCTCAGCCCTAGGGGCCTGATTTCTTCGGTCCGCGGGGGCTCAGGAGCTGGCGCTGGATCAGGGGACACTCAGTCCCCTTGTGCAGGGCCGAGCCTCTCCTGACCCCTACTTTCCTTAGACTTGTCTCGGAACCGGTTTCCCGAGGTGCCTGAGGCCGCGTGCCAGCTGGTGTCCCTGGAAGGCCTGAGCCTCTACCACAATTGCCTGAGATGCCTGAACCCAGCCCTGGGGAATCTCACAGCCCTCACCTACCTCAACCTCAGGTAGTGGGAGCGTCTTCTCCTGGCCTCCAAGACCAGTGCCATTGCCCTGAGAGGTCCCTGGTCCCCAGAGCAGGCCCAGTGCCGGGTGCCTTGCCTGAGGAGTGAGCCCGCTGCCTCTCTCCCTCCACAGCCGGAACCAGCTCTCCTCCTTGCCACCCTACATCTGCCAGCTGCCCCTTCGAGTACTTATCGTCAGCAACAACAAGCTAGGAGCCCTGCCTCCAGACATCAGCACCTTAGGAAGCCTGCGGCAGCTTGTGAGAACCAGGGGCAAGGGCAGAAGAGGGACTTTTGGGGGTAGCTAGAGAAGGGTAGGAAGCACCCTTGGGAAAAGGCTTGGACGAAAGACAAGTAAGTGGCCAGGGAGAAACAACGGCAGAGCGACTTCCGCCGCTCCTGGGCTGATGGCGCCTTCTCTGACCTAGGACGTGAGCAGCAATGAGCTGCAGTCTCTCCCGGTGGAGCTGTGTAGCCTCCGCGCCCTGCGGGATCTCAACGTTCGGAGGAACCAGCTCAGTGCCCTGCCTGATGGTAAGGAAAAGGGAGCCCAGAGGGTGGTGGGGGGTGTGCCTGTGTGCGCTTGCGCGCCTTCACCTAGGCTGCTGTAACGAAGATGCCGTGTGGGGGGGCTCTGAACAGCACTGTCGCTTCCCACCGTTAGCTCAGGGTGCCATGTGGTCAGTGAGGGTCCCACCTCACTGGCTCCTCACCTCACAGAGCAGAGAGAGCTCCTGGGGTCTCTGGGCTCTGTGGTATAAGGATGCTAATCCGTTCTGGACTCTGCCTCGTGACCTTGCTACCACCCAGAGGCCCCGCTTCTCCTACCAGTCACTGTGAAGTTATGATTTCAACACGTGACATGGTGAGGGGCGCAAACATGAATCGGAAATAACGCTTCTACCTTGGAGAAGTCACAGGCAAGAACTCTTTTAAAAATACCCTTGCCTTAGTTGCTCAGGGATCTTCAGTAGCTAAAGCAAACAGTCAACAGTTGTATTTGCTCTTGACCATGGCAACCCTCTGGGGCTGGGAAGGCGTGGATTCCCAGTTCTGTTTTTATGTGGGAACAGGCTAGGAAAGAAGGGTAGGAGTGAAATCAGTCAACTGTAGAATCAATCCTAAGGTTGGAAGGGACCGTCAGGCCCACCCAAGCACCCAGCCCAGCAACAAGAGCTCTCAAGGACTCTGAACTGGAGGTGGCGGCGGGGGAGGTCCTGACATGACAGTCTAGGCAGCCCTGTTTAATGAGGTAATTATGACGTACCAGATGGTCTGTTGGGAAGCAGGCTTGTTGCTCAGCCAGGTATGTGTGCTTCCTGTGTTTCAGGTGGGGCGGTAGATGTGACTGAGATCTGAGACAGCCCTCAAAGGTGTAGTGGCTTAATGGAGACAGGCATTCATAGGGACCTGCTAAATCAGGAGGCTAGGGAGCCAGGGAGTGAGGGAGAAGAGGGCTCTTCTGGGAAGTCACGTCTCCCCGAAGCTCAGACCTTAGGAGGTGAGCGTCCCATCCTTCATCCAGGCAGAGGAAGGAGCACCATATGCAAGGCATGGAGATGGGGAGCAGGATGCAGCATGGATGCAGTCAGAAAGACAAACTCGAGGGCGGCAGGAAGAACAAGAGCAGTGGTCACCCACTTACCCATTGTCCTGCCTCTTTCTGCCCCTTCTGCCTCTGCCGTCCACCTGCCAAGTCTGTTAAGTGTCTTAATTTTCTCTTACTGTAACGAAATAACTGAAGCTAAGGAATTGGGTTTTGTTGAATTGAGACAGGATCTCACTATGTAGCCACCGTGGAATTCACTCTGTAGACCAGGCTGGCCTGGAACTCACAGAGATCCACCTGCCTCTGCCTCCCGAGTGCTGGGATTAAAGGCCTGTGCTACCTGGCTGGAATTTTGTTTTTTGTTTTGTTCTTTGAGAACAAACAAGATTTTGTGTTTTGTTTGGCTGGATTTTTTTTTTTTTTTTTTTTTGGTTCTTTCTGTTTGTTTTTGTTTTTGTTCTTTGTCTCTTGTAGTTCAGGGTGGCCTCCAACTCAGTACATAGCCAAGAATGGCCTTGAACCCCTGTTTCTCCCGCTTTTACCTTCTGTGTGGTGGGATTAGAGGCATGCGCCGCCATGCCTGGTCTCTGCAGTACTGAGGACCAGACCTAGAGCTTCATGCTTTCAGGTCAGCATTCCACCAACTGAGCTATGTACCCAGCACTCCTTCTATTTCTTTGGTTTTTGAGATAGGGTCTCACCCTGAAGCCCAGGCTAGCCATTCACTTGTGATGTGCCTTTTGTCTCAGCCTCCCAAGTGCTGGGATTGTAAGTGTGAGCCAGCACTGAGGCTTGAGGACCAAGTAATGTAATTTTTAAAAACATTTATTTCTATTTATTTATTTATTGTGGGTACCTACACATTCTTATGTGCAAGTATCACATGTCTGTGGGTGTCACCAGGGTAGCACAGGGCAGCACAGAGCAAGAGTGCCAGAGAAAAGGCCACTTCTTTTTTTTTTCCCCCGAGACAGGGTTTCTCCGTGTAGCTTTGGTGCCTGTCCTGGAACTCACTCTGTAGCCCAGGCTGGCCTCAAAGTCACAGAGATCCGCCTGGCTCTGCCTCCCGAGTGCTGGGATTAAAGGCGTGCGTCCCCACCACTGGCTGAAAAGGCCACTTCTTAATGGTCCATTAATCCATGAATCCACCCGTGGAATAGCCCATTCCATTCATGCCTCGAGAGACCCATGACCCCGTTACCTCCTGTCGATCCCACCTCAGAACACCAGTGTCAGGGATTTGGTGATTAAGTATCTAATGCTTGAAAGTTAGTCATAGCAGTAGGGGCATAAAACAGGGAGTTCTCCCTGGGGCCATAAAAGACCCAAGCAAAATGCTTCTTGAGTATGAAGGAACAGTGAATTCCAAGACCCTGGGGTATGTGAAGATTCATAGAAGAGGTAAAGCTTGAAAATAGGCTTCCTGATTGATTGAGTGAGTGAGTGAGTGAGGCTCTCGTGTAGCTCAGGATGGCCTTGAACTAACACACTATTATGTCGCTGAGGCTGGCCTTGAATTGTGTGCTCTTCTGCACACCATACCCACCCGACCTCAGCAGCCATGGCTGTGTGGTATGGGAGGCTTTTGTGCAGGAGTCAGTTGGTTTGTGTCTTGTGCTGCTCACTTGAGAAGGTAGAGTGGGTTTCGGTGGGGGCTGCCAGGGGAGGAGGATGCATAGGGCTCCGCGGCAGCTGAAGCCCACAGACAGGGCTTGGCTCGGCTGGGAGTGGGGAGAGGAGCAGTGGTTTCTGGTAAGTGAACTGAGCCGGCCAGGGTGGTAGGCTGTGATGATGGAGCCAGGAGTGACTGGCTGGCCAGGGCCAAAGACAAGGAAGAGAACTCAAGGCCTCAGGCCTGGGCTTCTCCTAACTCGCCCCTTGCCCAACCCTAGAGCTGGGGGACCTTCCTCTGGTCCGCCTGGATTTCTCCTGTAACCGTGTCTCCCGAATCCCGGTCTCCTTCTGCCGCCTCAGGCACCTGCAGGTCATTCTGCTGGATAGCAACCCCCTCCAGAGCCCGCCTGCCCAGGTGAGGTGCAGTCTGGGTGGACCTTGAGGACAGTGATGCTGTTAGCATGGGAGGGTCCAGTAAGGCTTGGGGAGCCACCTTATTCTCACGCCTGTGCCCCCACACAGATCTGTCTGAAGGGGAAACTTCACATCTTCAAGTACTTAACGATGGAGGCCGGTCGGGGAGCTGCCCTCGGGGACCTGGTCCCTTCCCGCCCCCCAAGTTTTAGTCCTTGGTAAGGCCCTTGGTAAGGGAAGGAATCCTCTTCTCGGGACCAGAGACCACCCCTGGATTCCAGGGGAGGGGAGGGTGCTGCCGGCATGGGACTGACCAGGTCTCCCTGGCTGCTCTAGCCCTGCCGAGGACTTATTTCCGGGACGCCGGTATGATGGTGGCCTGGACTCCGGCTTCCACAGTGTTGACAGCGGCAGCAAGCGGTGGTCAGGAAACGAGGTGAGGACCCCGGGGTGTCACCGCTGGGGGGACGCGGCACTGAGGACCCTGACTGAATCCCCTGTAAGAGGCACCTCCTCCCTCTCTCCCCAAGAGGCTGGCTCTCCCCCGTCCCCTGTGTGGGACCCCATATGGTCTCAGCCCTGCAGAGAGCCCATGTCCCGTCTCTGCCTTAAAGTCCACAGATGATTTTTCAGAGCTGTCCTTCCGGATCTCAGAGTTGGCCCGGGAGCCCCGGGGGCCCAGACACCAGAGGGACGACGGCCCTGGTGAGCGAGGGAGTGTGTCCAGGAGGCGAGGGTGGGGTGGGCCCGGAAGCCCTCCCGCTGGCTCGCTAACGTGCCCTGGCCTTGCAGGCGATGGAGACCCGGAGCAGATTGACTTTATTGACAACCATGTTCCTGGGGAAGAGGAAGAGCGGGGTGCAGCTGAGGTGAGGGCCCGTGATGTCCCTTGTCCAGGGGAAGGGTACCCCATGGGGACACCAGGGCAGGCCGGGGGACCAGGCCGTCCTCAGCCTCTGCTGCTCTGTCCTCAGGAGCAGCTGCCTGCTGAGTTGAGCCTTGTGGCAGATGTGGAGAAGACATGGGGCAGCAGGTACTTGAGCCCCACGCCCACACCTCTGCCCTGTGCCCAACAGTCCTGGGGACCCCCTCCACCTGACAGAGGTCTCTCGGGCTGTCTTCCGCAGGCGGGAGGAGCCTGCAGGGGAGGAGAGGCGGCGCCCAGACACTTTGCAGCTGTGGCAGGAGCGCGAGCGGAGGCAGCAGCAGCAGCAGCAGAGTGGGGGGTGGGGATCCCCCCCCCCCCCGGGACAGGGGAGGGCGGGAGGGCCTGGGGCTGCTGGACCGCGGGCAGAGGCGACCCCTCAGGCTTGTGTTCTGAACGTGTGGCCTGCCCGGAGCTCACGCCTGCTCCGCTTCTTGCAGTGTCCTTAAGCGGGGGATCAGAGCCGCGGGCGCCTCGTCCTCGGCCGCGCAGGCCGCCTCCAAGTAGGTGTCCTCCCGTGACCCGTCTCCCTACGCCGCCTTCGTGGCCCTCTCTGAGTCCCTTCTTTTTCTTCAGTGGCCCACCGAAGTCCAGTGCTACCCAGCTAGGAGTTTCAGGGGGGCAGGGAGCTCCCACACCGCCCCCCGTCTCCCAGGACTCCATTCCTGTATCTGGACCAGGTAGGACAGTGTTTTAGAAGGTGGCTTGGGGTTGCTTGGGACACAGGCCTGAAGGAGGAAGAGTGGGCCACTGAGGGGGTGTCTCTTGCTGTCCCTGGCTTCCCCAGTGACAGCTCCTGTTCCCAGGCCGCTGGGCTCCATTCAGAGACCAAACAGCTTCCTCTTCCGTTCATCCTCTCAGAGCGGCTCTGGTGAGTGTCTGCCGTTCTGGCACTAACCTCAGGACTCCTGTCGCTTGGGGCTTGAGTCTCTCAGGGTCTTGTCCCTTTCCGTGGAAAATCCCACAGCAGGAGGCGGTGCTGGTATGAGACTGTGGGAACTGCCTCCAAAGTCCACCGTGAGGCAGAGCTATCCCTGTCCTCCCTGCTCCCCAGGCCCTTCCTCTCCAGAGTCCGTTGTGAGATCGCGGCCGTTTCCTCAGACTCTGGACGAGAAGGAGCTAATGTCCCAACTTCGCCAGGTGAGCAGAGCAAAGAGATGTGGGTAGGCAGAGGCCTGACCCAGCATGGACCTCCTTCCCCTTTCTTCCCTCAGGACCTGTGCACACAGCCCCCAACTTCTCTTTCCTGTCCCAGCACTGTTGTTGAGGAGGGGAAGGCATGGAGTGAGTCCCGCTGACTCACCTGCTCCTCCTGTCTCCGCCTCCAGATCCTGGAGTCCCGGCTGCAGCAGCCCCTGCCTGAGGACCTGGCAGAGGCCCTCGCCAACGGGGTCATCCTCTGCCAGCTAGCCAACCAGCTGCGGCCCCGCTCTGTCCCCTTCATTCATGTGCCCTCACCTGCTGTGGTCAGTGGGAGCCCGGAGGAGGAGGAGGAGGGCACGGGACGGGTGCGTGGCTTTGCCTTTCCAAACTCTTCCATTCCCCCACCTTCAGCCAAAGCTCAGTGCCCTCAAGTCTCGGAAGAACGTGGAGAGTTTCTTAGAAGCCTGTCGAAAAATGGGTGTGCCTGAGGTATGGGGGTGCTCTTTGCTCTGGGGCTCAGCTGAATACCGTGCACGCGGGTGGAGTTCCATCCACAGGGGATCTAGTTCTCCCGAAGCATGTGTCCCGGGCCCACCCTCACAGCTCCTGCCCGCCCGCCCGCCTCCTGGCTCCCTGTCCGTCCTGCATGTGTGCATGTGTGCATGTCCGCATGTCCGCATGGCTCTGGCTGTGCTCCTGGTGTGCGGGGGCGAGGGTGGGAAGGTCTGTGGCTTGATGCTGCTAACACCTGTCATTTGTCCTTGTCCATCTGCCCTGCCCTCCCTCCCAGGCTGACCTGTGCTCGCCCTCGGATCTCCTCCGGGGCACCACCCAGGGGCTGCGGACCATACTGGGGGCTGTGATCCTGGTGGGGGGCAAGGCCCCCCTCCCAGTCCCGCCCTCCTCCAGTCTGGGTGGCTTCCTCCTCTTCTACGTGGTCTCCATGCTGCTGCTCTATGTCGTCTACACTCGGCTCCTGGGCTCCTAGGACCCACGCTGTCCCTTCCTTCCCCACCTTCTATTTATAGTCCTCCTAGTCACCCGTGCCCCCCAGTGCCTTCAGCCCTACCAAAGACACTAGTGCACCCTCACAAACACTGACCTCAGAAGCCCCCCAGTGCCCACAGTAGCCCTTACCCTCTAGTGCTGACGGTGCCTTCATGTCCCCACCAGCCCTGTCCCCCAGAGGGCGACAGACCTGGGGTCCTTTCCTCCTCCCTCCCTCCCCCTGCTGGCTGCTAGGGGGAGCTAAATTTTCTCTGTTTTGTAGAGAGAACTCTATATTTGTAGGGTGCGGGCCCATCGTGGCCCCTGGTTCTGTGTATAAACTGTATAGACCGTCACGTCTGTGTCTCGTGTGAGCCGCCGCCGCCGCCGCCGCCGGGCCCTGCCTGCCTGGGCCCCGTGTCCGTCAGCCTGCCTGTCCCGGCGGTGCCGTTGGAGATGCCAGGCCTCTCCTGCCCTGAGCCTTCTGTGTCCCGCTTCCGTCATGTGCTGACAGCTTCCGTGTGCCGTCTGCCCAGGCATGGGGCAGTGTCTACCAGGAGCGCCCCACCCCGCCCACCTTGCTTGGGGAAGGCCAGGGGAGACTTAACCTGGCCCCTCCCCCAGGAGTCCCTGTGCCAGCCCCACCACATCCTGGACGAGGAGGGGGCCCCTGGAAGGGGCCTCCCTCACATCGCTGCTGTCCTCCACGCACTTCTGGAACAGCCTTAGGGTAGAGGTGGGGGCGCTTGGCCCAGCCACGCCGGACCTGTCCTGGGAACACGACACCTGGCCTTGCCAGTGAACAAGGACTTGGTGACCACGGCCCTGCGTGTAGCAGGGGCTTGGGTACCCCGCCCTTAGGCTGCGGGGTGCACCCCGGGTCTGGGTGAAGAGTGGTGTGCGAACCCAATAAAGAAAAGCCCCAAGGCCTGCAGCTCGGCCCTCAGGTGTGTGCCTGTCTGTGCGTGCGTGCGCGAGCGTGCGTGCGCGAGCGTCTTGAGGACCTGGGTCCTCTGCGGCGGCCTGGGCCCTGCTTCCGTGCGGGGCAGAGGGCTGCCCGGGCACAAGTGCCCCAAGGCTCCGCCGCCAGGGGGCGCCCTCGAGAAGCTGGCGGGAGCGCACCACGTGGCTGTGGGCGCTCTGGCGCAGGCGTCGTGGCGAGGCCTCGGGTCGACTAGACGTGGGCGCCCATGTAGTCGGGCCGCGGGCGGGCGGGCGGACAGGCGGGCGGGCCAGCCGAGGGGTGCCTGCGCCCCACCACGCACGATGCTGCCCTGGCTCGGGCCGTGGGGCACAGGCCGGGGGGAGGCGGCGGGGGAGCCAGGCCCCTCCACAGCCGGTGACCACGGCAGCGGCGGCGGCGGAGACGGGAGCTCTGGAGAGGAAACCACGGAAGAGCCCGGCCTGCCTGCGCAGGGCAGGTGAGGCGTGGTGCGGCCGCTAGGAGGCGCCCTGGGCCTGGGGTGCTGGCCCTGACCCCGGCCAGCCCTGGGAAGGGCCGCGTGGAAGAGCATGTCCTTCCCTCCACGCAGCAGCCCACAGCCCCGGGCGCTCAGCCCATCTGAGGCCGGAGCAAGGCCGTCGCCGCCCTCCGGTCACCTGGCCCCCGAGCAGGCCGCCGCCGAAGAAGCAGCCCCAGGTAGGCACCAGGTCTCGCTGTTTTTACCCACGGGGCCCCGGGGATGCAGAGCCGGCTCCAATCTCGTCCCCCTCTCCTTGTAGGACCTCTTTCTCCCCAGGTGACCGCCCAGGTCACCCCCTCGAGGATGACCCCGCTGCCACTCTGGGATCCCAGCCACGAGGCCAAGGCCAGACCTCAGCTGGTGGTGAGTTGGGGGACGTGGGGCTCTGTCTCCGGGGAGCAGGAGGTGCCATAGGAGATGGAGCTCAGTCACCTCCTGCTCCCACAGGGGCCCGGCTGTGGGTCGGGCGTGTCTTTGTCCAGCAGGACTCTGTGTCATCCTTCCTGGCCTATGTATGACGCCTGGGGTCGCATCCCTACCTCGGGGCATCCAGAAGAAGAGCGGGTGGCCAGGGATGCAGGTACCGTGGGAGGCGCCTCGGCTCAGTCGGGAAGCTGGTGCGGTGAGGGCTGGGATGGGGGGCCGAGGCCGCCAAGCCAGCGGGCTCTCCTCCTCAGGGCTCCCGGTGACGAGCTATGATGATGTCTTTCTCTTGGACCCTCTGCTGCCCTGTGGGCAGCGCGTTCCCCTCTACCTGTCCAAGCCCCCTCAGCAGGTAAGAAGAGTGCGCCCCTTCCACTCTCCCCCCCTTCCTCCGCGAGGCCTGGGGGGACAGCTTTCCCTTCCCGTGTCCTCAGGCAGTGGGCGCTCGGAGGCTGCTGCTCCCACCTCCCATCGTGTCCTCCTCGGTGCGTCCCTCGCCATCCCAGGCCTGCTCCTCCGCCTGGCTCAGCGAAGCAGAGATGATCGCCCTCACTGGCCTGCTGCAGATGAGCCAGAGCGAGCCGCGCTCTCAGGCCCCGGCAGGCCCTCTGACCTCTGCCAGCTGCCCAGACCCTGCCGCTGAAGGCCCAGGCCCCAGGGGTGGCCAGAGCTGTTCTGGGAGCACTGACCCGGGCCCCACACACAGCCCAGATACCCACTGTTCATAGCCCCTCCCTCCGTGAGTGCTGGCTTCCCACAAGCTGTTCCGTTGACAATAAATCCGTTCGTTTGCAAACCAGACTGCAGCCGGGGACAGTGGGCCATGGGACGCGGAGGAGGCGGGTTCCTTCATTCAGTCTCCTCACTCACCCTCGCCCACTGCTTGGGGTGGGGAAATCCACTGAGCCGAGACAGTCAGGGTGCAGAGCACCTTTAATGGGGAGGTTGGGTCCACAGGATGTGGCTGGGCTGTGCTCTAGGAAGCAAGGACTTGGTCAGCTCGGCCAGGCCCCGAGAAGGGTCAGGTGAGCCTGACTGGCACCCGAGGAGGACTCGGGGGGCAGGTGGCTGGGGGGGCTCTGACGAGATGCCTGGTGCTCCCATCGATTTTGAGCTGGAGTTCTCGGAGTTCCTCTCTGACTTGGAAAAGTTGAGTGAGGATAGCTCTTGGGCTCAGAGGACACAGTGACATCTAGTGTCAGCTGCCAGCCTGTGAGGGGACAGACTGTCCAAACTGGGGTGGGGATCTTCGTCCATGGTTTGGCCACAGCTAGCTTGAGACCGATTCTGTAGGAATTCCTCAGGGGGATAGATCAGGGGGTTTCGGCTGAGAGGGCCCACACTTTGTAAGGTTTGGGGGTCTTGTTTGTTTGGTTTTGGGGGGTTGGGGCAGAGAGGGGGTCTAGAACTTTCTCTAAGAGTCTAATTTCTGGGGAGAATCTCTTCCCGAGGGTTTCCTAGCTGGAAGTGACAGCCGGCAAGGGCAGCAGAGCAGCCTACAAGGGACTTGGTGGCCGCAGGGCCCTTGCGTGCCGGAGCTGAGCTGGAAACTTTTTCTCCTCTTTTCCTCTCTTCCCTGACCAGTGCCCGGGTCTCCTCCCCGGACCATCTCCCACAGTTCTAGAACTTGATGCTGGCATAGCTATGTGGACTCTCCCGGGGGGCTGCTCCGGGCACCTCCAAGGGGGGCACTAGGTCCAGGTCCACGTAGTTGAGGCAGTTGTCCAGAGATCCTGGCTTAACACTGTTCATTCCTACATAGTCTGGGATGTACATGTAGTCCCCAGATAGTTCTGAACGTTGGGACGAGTGGGCCTGAGCCTCTGTGGGTCCCCATCTGTCCCTAATGCTGCGGGGGAAACCCTGATGCCCAGGTTCAGGATCCCTGGCCTTGAGCTCGTAGTACAAAGGCCCTGGTAAGAATCTGTTCATGGGCATGTATTCTGTGCCCTCAGAATCCTGAAGCGACTTGCCCAGAGCTACCCTGGCAGGGGTGGGAGGAAGGCCTGGGGGTGCCATCCACATGTAGTCACCAGCCTCTCCTCCCCCCATGTGCACGTAGTCATCCCTGACTCCCATGGCGATATAGTCCCCATCCAGATCTAGCCCCTTGTAGGAGGGGGCGGGCCCCAGCCTTTCCAAGGCCTTGAGGTAGTCCTGCTTTTCTCTCTCACCGGGGCTTCGTGGTTGCGCTGCAGAAGTAGGGGTTTCATACGGTGCCGGGGCAGGGGCTGCAGAAGCACTCTTGGGAGGCTCTCCGGACGGTGGCTCGTCCTTCCCACTGCTTCCACTGCTCCCCAGCCTCTTCATGGCAGCCAGGACGGTCTCGTGAATGCTTTGGGCCACCACTGCATCAGGCGCCTGCATCCACAGCTCCCCGGGACCCGTGGGCGCCGAGCGCCCGAGTTCCAGGAAGAAGAAGGAGTCCGCATGGCCGCAGCGGCGCACGCTGAGCAAGGACAGGCGCAGGGCCGGGGGTGGCGATGCCCGGCTGTCTCTGGAGCCTTTGCTTCCTGGCTTCCGCAGGAGGCTCAGGGACCCAGAGCCCAGGCACAGGCGATAGCTGCCGCTGCTCAGGCCTCGTGCTCGGCCCAGCCCCTTGGACCTCAGTGTCACAGGCCAGACGTCCTGGAACGGGGCGAAGATCCAAGACTCGGGGGCCTCTCGGGGACTGAGACCTGGAGAGAACAGGCAAGTCACTGGGAGGCCGGGGTGGGGGTCACGTGCCCCCAGGAAACCAAGACGCGTGAAAGCTTGAGATTTGAACCTTCGGTGATCTGGGGGAGACGGGTTCTGGATGAGCTGAGCTGGCACCCCCCTGCCCTCCCCGTCGCCCGGGGCTCACCCATAGCCGTGGCGGCAGCCGCAGCGGCGGAGGCGCGCACCTCCAGCAGGGCGCTGTACCACACTTGCTGCTCCACTTCGCTGGCCGCCGCGACGCCCAGGCTGCTGTCGCTGGTATAGACGACGATCAGGTGGCGCTGGCGGGCATCGGCGCGCTTGCTGATGGTGCAGGCGCCCTCCAGGCTCACGCTGCGCCGGGGTCGCGGCGGGCGGCAGCCGCCGGCCAGGAACTTCTTCTCGCTCTCGTAGCACTCCAGGCGCGGAGGGTCCGCGCGCAGGACGAAGAAGCGGCGGCGCTGGGACTTCTGCTTCCGCAGGTGGCCACAGAGCCGCACGTCGGGTGGGCAGGGCCAGGGAAACGGCGGGCCAAGGGACGCGTCGGTGGACTCGGCCCCGGGGGAGACCGTGGGACCCGCTGTGGGGCCCGAACCTGCCGGCTTCATCTCCAGCCAAAGGCAGCCAAGCGCCCTCGGAAGGACCGATTCGGATCGGGTCCCCTGAGCCACCACCGGCTGGGGACGAGTAGCAGAGACCTGGGAGATGGCAACGGTCTAGTGACCCTGCATCTCCCCACGCCCTCTCCCGCCTTGGAGTCTGGTGCACAGGGAGCCTGCGCACCAGCGGGAGTGTGTCCCGGTGGCCAGTGACACCAGGACTCCCAGGTCTAAGGAAAGCTGACCCAGCTGGTCAGTCTCGCTGCTGGAGTCTCCACCCCTTCAAGTTAACCCTCCCACGCCCGAGCGCCGGAATCTGAGTTTGGGACCCACCGGCTAGAGTAGGAGCCCTGCACCGCTGGGACCGAACTTTCGCAGGGGCGGGGAGTGTGCGGGCCTCTCCACCAATCAGCTGACGGGATATGGGGGTGGAGGAGTACGGCCTGGGGCGGCCTCGGGCAATCCCGAACGCCGGATACCAGGGTGCAGAAGCGGCTGTGCTTGGTAGAGATGGGACGAGGGATTAGAAGAGCGGCCTAGCGGGCCATCCCGACTACGGCACCAGCTCCCCAGGCCGGAGCCACCCGCTCAGCCTCTACCCGGAGTGTCCCTCTCCTTCCCACCCAGAGGTGATTTGTGTGCCTTTGCTCCCGAGTCATCCAGAGAGCATGGCTGCTGACCGCTGCAGAGCTTCTAACTGCGGTTCCTCAAAGAGTTTGGGGCGATTGGATGTCCCAGGACAGGGACACGAGTAGACGGGTCCCTGGTCACGCCCCGTACCCACCCGACTCCTCTGCGTTCTACTTGGATGCCACTGAAAGAAGCGGTCCTTTCTCAGGGACACCTTCAAAGTTCCCCTCACCACCAAGTCAAAATGCTGACCTGAACCTGACAGCGGCTGTGGTCACAGAAGCCAGGTTTCTGTGAGAGATGCCTCGTGACCCTTTGCATCCTCAGAGGTTAGGGTGGGGTCAGACTGCATATGCGTACACACACCGTGAGTGCACATGGCTGCGGAGGCCAGAGCACGACCTCTGGTATCAACAGGAGCCAGCCCCCTTGTTTTTGAGACAGGCTGACCCGCTTGGAACTTGGCTAATAGATTAGGCTAGCTGGCCAGGAGGCCCCAGAGATCTGTCCGACTCCACTTACCCCACACTGGGATTACAAGTGCATGCTACCACGCCCAGCTTCTTAAATATATTATGTGTGTTGTGCAGGTTGCCTGTGTGTGTAGGTCAGAGGACAACTTTGGGAAGTTGGTTGAAGCAGGGTCTCTTTCTGCCACTGTGCCGTGTACTCGGGGCACGCTGGCCTGGAAGCTTCAAAGCTAGTTATTTGTAGCCTTGGCTGTCCCGGAACACACTCTGTAGACCAGGCTGGCCTCGTCACGAAGTGCTGGGATTAAAGGCGTGTGCCACCGCTGCCCGGCTAGTGGTAGTTGTATATATTTATATCTTGCTATACTGTACTGGGATTATGACACATGCCATGAATCCCACTCTTACGTGGATCAAACGGGCCACCAGGCTTGCACAGCGAGGACTCCGCCAACCGACCTATCTCCCAGCCCCTTGGATATTTTGTTTTTCCACACTAGGAACACTGGTACAGATCGAGGGGCAGGGAGTGGTACGGTGCAGTCGGTCACAGCGTAGTTGACAAGCAGTGGGGCCTATGTAGACACGGTGACCCCCCAGCGCTGTGACAAACAAAATCCCCGTGGGGAAAGCTGAAGGTATAGAGAAGAAAAGGCCCATCTTACAAGTAAACAGAAGCAGAAGAACTTGGGTCTTTTTCTCAGGCTAGTCCAAGGGCGGCCCAAGCAGAGGCCCAGGGCCCACCTGTAATCTGGAATACTGGAGAAATTACTTGCCATGATCTTTGAAACTGGGCAACTGAACACCTTTCCAAACGCCGCATTGAGGGCAGATACCCAGTACCGACATTCATCATCCGTATGGGCATCGAGTGCCTGGGGCCTGCCCAGGTGCTTCCCAGCCAGCCAGAGCCCCACCCAGGGCAGGAGAAAAGCTCAAAGTCCAGCTGGTAGGCCCTGGAAGGCAGCCCTGCGGATAAAGCATTTTTGCAAGTTTGTGACTTGAGCTGGGTCCTCGGGATGCACAGAAAGCTGGACATGGAAGCCACAGCCTCAACTCTAGAGCCCCCAAGTGAGATTGGGTAGTGTGGACGGCAGGACCCCGGCAGCTCTCCAGGCTGTTAGCCTGAGGTATGTGGGGGCAAAGAGGTCTCCATCTCAAGGGAAACAGCCTCACCCCCTCAGGACTGATTTGACGCTATCCAGGAAGGGTCTCTATCTCTTCCTGCCTCCCTGAACCTGGTCATCTTGCAAACATCTGTCCTTGTGAAATCCCATCTGCTGTCACCGAGACGGCTCCAAACGCTCTGTGTCATTCAGCCCTGGAGCGCTGGGTAAAAGATAAAGCAGGAAGCGGCAGTTATCCAAGGACCTGGTGTGGGGACTAGCAAGAGCTAGATGTAAACAGTGCCAGGTGACTTGGTCTGCTGGGTACCAGGAAAAGCCTGGCTTACCTCAGTTGCCATAGCAACAACTCTGCTCTTGGCCCTGCTTTGACATATTTTATGATCTGAAACCCCAGCAACCCAGGCAGTGGCATATTTGGGGCCCTGCTAGGTTCAGGGCACACCACGTTATTAATTTTGTTAGCAGGGGTAGGAATCCATTTAGCGGAGCCTGTGGATAGTCCCTGTAATGGCTTATTCTCTGGGTGTGTATGTTGTGGGCTGGGGCAGGGTGGGTGGACAGGACCAAGCTATATAATGAGTTCCATCAATCATCCCACTCTGTGGGTCCCACGTGGAGAAAATTCCAGAGGTTCAGCTCCAGCTTTGTTACCCACAGAGGCTACCCATGGGTGACTGGCTGACAGATGGGCCCCGGAGCCAGAGGGCTGTCACCTGCACAGTATGGCTAGAGCATTGGCCAGGGCCTGTAGGAAAGACCTGGCCAGTGTGTGAGCCAAATGCAGCTCCAGCCTGTGTGTGCACGTGTGTGTGCACACGTGGGTACACACACCTGTCTAGATTTATAGTGGTCAGGAGAGGCTGACAAAGAGGAAGACAGGCCTACTCAATCTGGGATGTTTCCACTGGTTTTGCCCCTGGAGAGGCTTTATCGGGGAGAGTGCAGGGCCCTTCCTTGCCAAGGACAGTGGTTCAGCCCCAGCCTCAGCCTGTGCCCAGGGGATGTTTGAGGCTAACCCAGGGCAGATTCTCAGCCTAGTATCTAGTGCTGGCCAGGCTCCCTGTCAGACAGGGACCAGGACAGACAGACAGCAGCCAGCAGGTCCTGGCCCCAGCAGCAAGTGGGCGACAGGAAAGTCCCTGGGATACAGCACAGTGTGACTTAGGCACAGGGAAAAAGGGCCTCGCTTTAGGGCCCTTTAAAACTGAAGTGATCTGGAGCCAGAGCGAGGGAAGCTGGGTGAAAGAAGCCTGGGACTGTGGAAGCCCTCACTCCTGGCTGAGAGCGGAATGAGGGGAAAGGGGAGCACCCGGAGACGTGGCTCTTTTGGGAGTGTGTTTGCCCAGCACGCAGGAAGCTTGGGCCTGATCCCCAGCACCTCGTAAAACGGTAAAACAGTGTGGTAGCTCGTCAGGAGTTTGAGGCCAGCTCAGGCTACAGAGCGAGATCCTGGCCCCCAAACAGCAGCAGCAACAGAGGCAGCCTGGCAGGGGGCACACACCACACACCGGGAACCTTGGTGTTTGGGAGGCAGAGGGGGCTGAGCTACACGGGCTTGGTGGTGGTGGGGAACAGAGTGACCCTAAGGATGACCATAAGAAAGAAAAAAAGCTGGGCGGCGATGGCACACGCCTTTAATCCCAGCACTCGGGAGGCAGAGGCAGAGGCAGGTGGATCTTTGTGAGTTCAAGGCCAGCCTGGGCTACTAAGTGAGATCCAGGAAAGGTGCAAAGCTACACAGGGAAACCCTGTCTCGGAAAAAAAAAAAAAAAAAAAAAAAAAACAATAAATAAATAAATAAATAGAAAGAAAGAAAAATCAGACGGGAGACAGAAAAATACGGAAAAATCTGTACAAAGGCTAGGGGCCAGCTGGGTGACTTCCCTCCTCCCCCCTCCCAGGAAAGGGAAGGAGGGAGGAGGCCAGGCCTGTAGGAAACAGCGAAGGCTTGAATCTTGTTGCAAAAAAGGAAGGCCAAGCCTGGCTTAGCAAAGAGCAAGAGCAAGAAATCTTTCCAGAAGAGTCTGGTAAGTAAAGTAAACGATAACCCAGTTCCCACATCCCTTTGCAGGTCCCTGTGGAAGGCCCAGAGAAATCCTAAGAATGAAGAGTTTAAAGGGCCAGGAACCCTTGGCTGAGGTCTGCAGGGCGGGGCCTCTGGGGTAAACAGCAACACCAAGTCTCTTCTCAGCTGAGGGCGAGTTCTTATCCCCTGCACAATCGCACAATCGCCCAGACAGACACCTGGCTGCTGAGTGAGCAGCCTCGGGTAAGGAACTGCTGGAGGTTCTGAAGCCCTGGGGAGGGGGCTGTTTACTCACCAAATCCCTCCCCTGTGGCACCTGCCTCCCTCCCTGCCTGCCTGGCCGTGACTACTGACCTCCCGCCCCAGATGGGGACCCCCCCTCATCCCTTCCTCTTGCTAACAGAGGGTACAGTTCAGCCTTTGGTTGAGGTCACGTTTATCAGCCCAGGCAGTGCGGATCCGAAGAGCCACGTCAAGGATCGGTCGTGTTGACTGGTCTGTGTCCACTCCAGCTGGCACAAAGCAAGACACCGAGAGCCACTTTTTTTCTTTCAAATGCAGTCTTTTCCAACATCGCCTCCAAACAAGCTTTGGTGCAGATATTTAGGAGCAGCAGGAGGAATGTGGAGAAAAAAAGAACAGAACAAACTCCCCAGCCAATCACAGCCCTTTCATCGGAAGAGCCTAGCTAGACTCTGGGGTACACGTTCCTGTGTTTGTGTGTTGTGGAGAGAATGAGGACATTTGGTTGCCACCCTCTACCCCTTGGGCTCCAGGATTTACTACCCAGGCACAGACAGGGGTTACCCTATTCCTCAAATTCACAAGAGGAGCCTAGGCAGGTGCTCTCCCACTGAGCCACACCCCAGCCCCTCACTGGGGGATTCTAGGCAGGTGCTCTACCACTGAGCCACACCCAGCCCCTCACTGGGGGATTCTAGGCAGGTGCTCTACCACTGAGCCACACCCAGCCCCTCACTGGGGGATTCTAGGCAGATGCTCCACCACTGAGCCACACCCCAGCCCCTCACTGGGGGATTCTAGGCAGATGCTCCACCACTGAGCCACACCCCAGCCCCTCACTGGGGGATTCTAGGCAGGGACTCTACCACTGAGCCACACCCCAGCCCCTCACTGGGGGATTCTAGGC